TGGAGCTCTAGATAAGAGATGGAGTCGTCGGACTGACTCCATCTTGTGATGTTTTGTATTCTTTCTATGTAAGGGGTTAGCCCAAAACTTATAAATGTATTAGAGGCTTTGTGTGGCCAGGAACTCCTCTCTCCAGTTAGTGTCTCTGGATGAAGGAACAACCTTGTGGTTTAAAATAAGTCAGCACTAAATGAAGAAAAACGGACTCCTTCGTTATTCAGAGCTGTGCAATAAAAGAACTGGGGTATTACACTAATACCATAAATTTTGTTTTAGATAAGTTCAGAGACAATTTATTCAAATCAAACAAGTTCTTTAATTTGTGCAGTTCTCTCTCCACTACCCTTACCAACTGTTCCAAATTTTCACCAGAACAATAAACACTGGTGTCATCTGCAAACAAAACATACTTGAAAACATCAGATACCTTTCAAATCTTATTAATATAAAGTAAAAACTTAGGTCCCAAGACCACACCTTGTGGAACTCCACAATTTCTTTTCTGCAAATTGGACTCTACACCATTTATGTGCACATACTGAAACCTGTCAAATAATTTTCAACCCAAGAATGTGCTATCCCCCTAAAACCATAGTTTTGCAATTTATGTAATAAAATTTTATGATCTATTGTATCAGACGCTTTCTGTAAATCTAAAAATATTTCAACTGTATACTGTTTTTTATTTATTGCTTTTGTAACATTTTCCACTAAATTCGTAATTGCCATTGATGTGAACCTATGTGCTCTAAATCCAAACTGTTCTTCTGTTAAAATATTATTTAATTCAATATAGTTATCCAACCTTTTAACACATAACTTTTCTAATATGTTAGAAAATTGAGAAAGCAAAGAAATGGGTCTATAATTAGTAAACAAATGCTTGCTACCACCTTTACATAATAAAAGAACCTTGGCTATTTTCATTTCATTTGGAAAGATGCCAGTTTTAAATGACTGATTACAAATAAAAGTAAAGGGCTGAACAATAATGTACATTATTTTCTTAACTATAAACATATCCAAACCATTTTTAACTATCAATTTTTTCCTTTACAATAGCTCAGAATTTTTAATATTTCATCTTCATTGGTTGGACTTTAAAAAAAAAGAATTAGATCCCTTATAAATAGACATTTTTAAGGATTTATTTTGTGGATATGATATTTTATTTGCTAAAGTAGAACCAATTTTATCTTTTATCTTTCCTATTCCTTACAAACAATTCATGTCCATCTAACTCTACATCTAGTACCTTATCACCCAGCCATGTTTCAGAAACAGCAACTACGCTAAACTTTGGGAATATGTTAACCCTGCGATGGATTGGCAACCTGTCCAGGGTGTACCCTGCCTTCGCCTGATTGCCGACCGGAATTGGCTCTGCCCCCCGCAACCCCGTTCAGGGACTAAGCTGAAGCTTCTGATTCAGTAGAAGGTCAACAGATCTGACATCTCTTCAAAAGTTACCGAGCTACAGCCTGAAGAAAAAGCAATTAATGAAATACTGTTTTCCTTCAAACTAACAATGAAATCACTGTGATTCCACAGGCTTGGAGTTGGTTTTCATGGTCAGGGAATCATTATGAGGGTAAAACTATCATGGGAATAGTGCTTTTAGGTGGAATGGCATTTTGGGGAAGCTGAGCTGCCTTGACAGTGCTTTAAATTGAATCTCTTTCTGACATCACCTTGGGTTCTGGTAAACTGTTCTGGTAAATTGTAATTGTATTTTTCACTATTTTCTGATATTTGAGGGACTAAACAATAATCATTTAATTTTAAGAAAGATATTTATTTAGTGATAATGACAATAATAACTAACATGACAATTTTAAAGTAATACTCATGGATGGATACTACTGGTTTTAATTGTGAAACTATAACTGAGGGACTATGTCTCTCAGCTGGCCAGTTTTTTTTTTCTCCCGGAGGAGCTGGAGGAAGTGTCTGGAGAGAGGGAAGTCTGGGCATCTTTGCTTAGACTGCTGCCCCCGCGACCCGGTCCCGGATAAGCGGAGGAAAATGGGTGGATGGATGGATGGTTATGGTGCCTCCTAGTATGCTGGGGTTGCTAAACATACTGCATAGGGACAAAGTTTTCAGTTTCAGTTATGGACTATAGGGTCCAAAATATGAAAGCAATACATGTTTCTTGACCACTGGTAATGGCCGTGATATAAGTCCCCAAAATGTGACTGTGTAAACAGATCTACATCCCAACAGCATGAGTAATACCAGGCCCATAAACAAACATCATTAGAAGAGACTGAGGAGGTATTTTCCAGGAATATACTACGATGCACAAAGTGACAGCTCATAGCTGCTTTTGAGTAATATAATATTATTGCTTTTATTTGGAGCATTGAAATATGGTAGCCAGTGGCAACAAGTAGAGAAGGGTTAGAGAAATGGCAGAAGACACGAGGGAGTGTGCAACTGTAGGTGTACTTGAGTCAATAGGGAATGGTGGACTGGAGAGCAGAAGGGAGGCAAGGGATGAAAAAAGAGGGATAGAAGTATAGGCGGAGAGGAGAGGGGACAGGAAAATCAATAGTCATCAAACATGAATTGCACACTGAAATTACTTCTTAAGTTCCATCAGGAAAGTGAGTGGGAGGTGAGAGGTGGGAGTGGGAGGTGCAGTGGGGAACCTGAATGCCAACTTCTGTGTGTCATTCAACAGCACTGACTCAGGGTGCTTTCACACCTACAGCATTTAGTTCGACTGAATCGAACTGGAGTTCGTTTTCCCTCTTGGTGCAGTTTGTTTTATCTGGTGTAAACACGGTAATTGCACTCGAGTGCGCACCAAAACAACCGCACCGAGACCCCCAAAATGAGGTGGTCTCGATCCGCATCATCTAGCGAACTCTGGTGCGGTCCTGCTGGTGAGAACGCGTACCGAACAACGCGTACCGAACCAAAACGGGACCAAAGGCCGTGAATCACATGATTTGAGGGCATTGGATTATGGGTAGATTTTATTTCCTGTCACCCAAAACATGCGCCAGGATGAATCGTGGGCAAACTGTACGACTTGGTTTAAGTGGTAAATGCAAGTAACGTAATACAAAATAACCAAGGCCAGGCCCAACCCGCGTATATTGACCTCCAACCTCTCTCGTCACAGAAACGTAGACTTTCTTCCTTTTATTTACTTTTTCTGTTCTCGCGGCAGAGACATCTGACCAATAAGCAGAGAGAATGTTCTCACGTAGTTTTACGTGACGTGTTTTGGTGCGCTTGGATTTTTCTGTGTGTGAAACGAAACCGAACCAAGGAGACATTGCTACATGTTTACGAACTCATCAACTGATCCAAAGCAAACGAATTAAGGTGTGAAAGCACCCTCAATCACTGAGCTCACCTCTGGTCTGCACCCACAGCAGAGCCCAGCACACTGCAGGGATGTTCTCATAAAAGCATAGCCATGCTCCTCATGTAATAATTGAATTAGATGAAGCTAAGTTTCTTTTCCTATTTTTTATTCCTTAGTTATATGTATTACTATTGCATTGATGACTGCTAAAACAGCTTACTCTTTCATGTTTGTCTGTTAAAAGAATGTGTCTGCAGGAGGTCTGTGCTTTGAAGTTGACTTAATGTTCTGTATCTGCTGTTCGTTTATTAGGGTTTTTATGGACAGGATGTCTGCTCTTTGAAGATGACCAGATGTTTCTGTTTCTGTTAGCTGGCGTCTGACTATAACATTCACACACCATTTGATTTGCATATTTAGTAGCTGGTTTGCTCACGCCTATGGCCAATAGCATTAGGGTACATGTACAGTAAGTTCAACCTGTGTCCGGGGCGGTTCCCGCCCACAAAGATAAATGAAACTAGACAATGCTCTGACGCTGTAAGATTTGATTCTTATAGGCTCTAGTTACTTTATAACCTTTAGTTACGTTTCAGTTCTTCATTGTCTTTTAGTTACTTTTTATACCTTTTACTTTCCTTGCTTATACATGTTAAAACTGTATTGATAATTGTCCAGAACTACTGAGTTTTGGTTACTTTAATACATTCATTTATTTATTATATCTTCCAATTGTACTGATGAGAGTCAAGTGATACTGAAGTAGAAATTGACTACTTTAACTTCTGTGTAGACATAGTGTTTGTATTCACGAGGTCCTGCTTTGTCCTGTAATAGGATTACACAGGTAGGGGTCTACAGCACAGATGACCCATTGTTCATTTGCCGCCTGGAAAATCACATCACAACACACACACCTGGTTTTGATCACATTTCAGCAGGCAGGACTTAACCTACTCATGCCAAATGACCAACAAGATTACGAAGTGTTGAGTATAGCACCTCTGTCCAGGGCAGAGCAGCCCAAAAAGATAAATGTATTGTTAAAACATAATTCAGGGTTCAGAGGACAGAATTCCTGCGGGAGCTCTGTCCCTCTGATCCCAGCACTGTAAGGCCTACCTGTGCTCAGACTTTCAGTAAACTTTCTGTTGATTTCCTCTCCTGTCTTCACTTCTCATGCTTCCAACAAAAGAATTGGGTTATTGTCTAACAACACTCTTAGATGAAGAAAGGAATTAAAAAAATAGGAAAGGAAACATAAGTTCATATGACTCAAATATTACAAACTTCAAATATTGCACATAGTATTTCACCTAGTGGAGCTGAATATGGTATTTCGCATAGTGAGGTAATAAGGGGTTATTGCACGTTTCTCACAAAACTCACAAGACTACGATAAGACTCAGAAAAGACTTTTAAAAGACTAAAGTCTGACACCTATTCAGAAAGTTTTAGTCATAGGGCAGAGATACACCAAGCTGATTTAACCGGTTCCTATTGTGACATTGTATAATTACACAAAGTTGTTTATTCATACCTGACATCCAGAGCCCGAGTGTCTCCTGTTTACCATGTATTGGGTTGAGTCCTCCAGCTCCACCTTGTTTCTTCTTCGTTTGTCCCACAAATGTCATATAAATATGGTGCTGTATCAGACCCTCTTCCCTTTTGATATGTTCCACTGGGAAGAGGTCAGTTATAATCCGTTGTCATCCTTTTATTTCATATGCCCACATCCTTATTTTTACCTCTTCTGTGTAAATGGTGACTGTTCATACACTCATACATGTACTGCTATAAAACTGTTGTGACATTTGACTGTGCTAATTACTCAGCCTTGTTCTGACGACGATGTATGCCAACGCACTAACATGATATATTGTTTTATATAGATTGGGCTTGAGGTCCGGCAGCACATGCTAAGTGCTGATTGTTCATTTCATGTTGTCAGGTATGTTATCTGAATATCTTGCCCCTTTTGATCTGTTCCACTGGGAAGAGATTGGGCTTGAGGTCCGGCAGCACATGCTAAGTGCTGATTGTTCATTTCATGTTGTCAGATTAAACGAAGCGCACCTCCAAACGCAGTCCTGGTGTTTCATGGGTCCTTCAGCCACCACACAAGCCCCAGCACAACACAATGCAGAAGTCCACCGGTCACACTGACATGGAAGACAAGCCCCAAAAGGTACTCAATGATGGCCTGTAATATTTGAGTTTTCTTTCCTATTTTTTATTCCTTACTTATATGTACCACTATTGCATTGATGACTGTTAAAACTACTTGTCTTTCCTGTTTGTCTGTTAAAGAATGTGTATGCAGAACATCTGCACTTTGAAGTTCACCAGTTGGGGATGATGACGAGGCTCCTGTGGAAGATTTGTCATCCTGAGCCCAGCGCTGTATGGCTTGACATGTGACCAGACTTCGATTAAATGTTCTGTTGATTTTATACAGTCCTCTTCTGTCTTCACTTCTTTGGCTTTTGTAGAAAGAAATTCTTGATAAAATGATACAGTGCTATGTTATGTACTTGCAAAACAGTTCCAATAATTGTTTAATCTGTTTGACCTTTGTAAAGACTTGACCTGTGGACATGAAATGCTGAGTGAGTAGGTGCAGAGAGACTCAGAACAACAGGAAGTTGTGCAGATACAGACTGAGATGACTGATTCTTCAAGAAATGTTGTATAAGGTCTTATTGTTTTGGCTTCAGATTATTGATTTGATTTGATTTATTCTTTCAAGCATGTAAAGACAGTTGATATGTCAAAACACATAATTTTACACATATCCAACAAATGTTAATCCAATATTAATTTGCTTATACCTAGTACATGCTTGAATGGAGTAGGAAGAAGTCACACTTATCCAGTCCTACTCCATGACATCATCTTACCATCATTGGTTTGCAAGCCGTATCTCTATATAAATAATTCTCTTCTACACCACACAAGTAATATACTAAAAAATTATAACAGTCTTAACATTCTTACATAATTACATTCTTAAATAATTATCTTCTACACCACACAAGTAATATACTAAAGTGTTACAAAGTGTTAACATTCATACACCACACCCATAATGTTCCATCTAATTAATCATTAAGCCTGTTCTTGCATATATCTTGATTGACACATACCTTTATATTTATGTTTAAACTTGTCAATTCTATTACAATTTTTTATGTCTACACTTAAATTATTCCACAGTTTTACCCCACTTATGGAAATACAAAATCATTTTTT